GCTCTGTTGGGGGCCTTGGGACAGTCAGGTCCCCCGGCTTATCTCAGTTAAGGAGGACAGCTCCGAAGAGGCCCCGCGGGTCCTCACGTGGGGCTGAGGCCTCCCGAGCCGCGTTGGGTGCGGCCATTCCCCGCCTGGGTCCGAGCTGTCAGCCTCCTCAAGACCCGCTCTGGAGGAGCCGGACTCGCCTAGCGTGGGCTCCAGGTGAGGGCACGGGTGGTCCGGGGCGCGAGCCCGGGACTAGGGGGTCTCCATTCACCGGACGCCTGCGGTGCGCGTCCTCCCTGAGTCGTACCAGCGGAGAGGTTGTGGTACCCCATTTCACAGATGAGAACGCTGAGGCTCAGGAAGGCAAGTGTCCTGCTCAGGCGAAGTCTGGCAGAGAAGCCGATTCAGGTCCTTCTGCCCCATCTCTCAGCCTCTAGTCTAGGTAGATCTAGATTTACCTTGAGAAACCCAGACGGGTAACCGGTGGTCACTTTCTTAGCCTCTGATCAACCGGAACATGGCCAGTAGAACTCAGGCAGCATCCCCTCCCGGCTGCCTCTTCGCCACAGCGTCCTGGGGTCTCCTCCAGGGCATCTGTCTTCACTTCCCCGGAAAGCCAGCGGGTGGATTTAGGGCTCACTTGGGATCCTTCCGCTTACGGGGCTCTGAATTACAGTGCTGTCCCTCTCAGAAAGAAGAGCTGGGGGGATCGGGCAGGACTGACATTTCTGAGCTAGGTGCCAGGTGAGCAGCTGATGGTTTGGCCCTGGACTCTTGGACCTTTGGCTGTAGGACTCTTGGGAATCTACCCCAGGTTGGGGGAAAGGGTAGAGGCACACCCTCAACGGAAGACAGTAGTCACCAGAGACTTTGGAGTTGGGGGTGGGCCCGGGACCCCTCCTGGTAGAGCATCTGACCTACACCAGGCCTTGCTTCCTGGGGAGCCCCCACCCACAGGTTGCTATTGTTGTTTTCATTTTGTAGGTGGGGAAACTGAGGTTCTAAGAAGTTAAGCCCCTTGCTCAAAGTCACATGGTCAGACTTGGCAACTCTGGGGCTGGTTCCCAGTCTATCTGGCTTCCATCTTAGAATTCTAGACACTCAGAATTGTAGCATCTGGGAGTCTTGAATCTCTTCAAGGGGAGTTACTTACCCTCTCTCCTCCAAAGCCGTCTCCTGGCTTTGGGTAGACGAGCTCTGGGAGATCAGAAAGGAAACAAGTCTTTTCTTCATTCTTTCAACAGATATTTACTGCCTTCATATGCCCTGCCCTCCGCCTTGTCTATTTTGTTTTTCTCAGTAGCATTTACCCCATCTGATGTCATATAATTTCACTTATTAGCGAGTTTATTATCTTCCCTGACTGGAATGTGATACAGGGAGGGGCTAGGGTGAGGCAAGTGAGGTAGTTGCCTCCAGTGCAAAATTGAGGGGTACCCAAAGCCCCAGTAATCAAATGACTAAAGCTAACATTGATCGTTTGCTCTGTGTTCTGCTGGTGGGAGACCAACTGGTATGGCCTCCATGGAGCACAGTCCCCCATCTCTGTCACAATTACACATGCATCCCCCTGACCTAGCTGTCCCACTTCTAGGCAGAATGACTTAGGCACAGTGAGGCTGCAGTGTGGTTTGTAATAGAGACTAGATACACACGCTCAGTGGCCATCGGTAGGGACTGATGGGCTCTTTATGTACTTATGTACTGATGTAGCACAACATATATTAAGTTTATTAATAACATAATATATGTTAATAACACGTATTAAGAACAACATATATTATTCAGTGAAAGAGCAAGACGAAAACAGTGCACAGAGCATGTTGCCGTATGCATAAAAAATAGAAAGAATATATGTCCATTATTGCTTGCATGTGCCTAAAATCTCCGTGGAAGGACATACAACTGTTTGATCACAACGATTCCTGCAGGGAGGGGAACTGGGTGGCTGGGGATAGGAATGGAGGGAGTTTTTTTTTTTTTTAAACTTCATTCCCTTTATAGCTTTTGAACTTTGAGCCATGCACATGTATCATCTGGTTGAAAAAAATATATATGTATGTATTTTAGATTATTTATTTAATCATGAGACCACTGCCCTGTCTGTGATCTGTCATTAACTTGCTCGTGACTTTGGGCTAGTTTCTTCACTTCCCTGGGCCGAGAAAAGAAGCCATGATGGTGAGCTCAGGCCCAGGCAGGGGGCAATCTGGGCCAGGAAGTGGGCTAGGTTGTGGGTCTGTCCCAACGGCACCTTCCCTACCTTATCCTGTGTGCCAGGCCCTTCCCTAAGGCTTTGCATGTGGTATCTCTCTTAGTCTCCACTGCAAGTCCCTTTGTCCTCATTTTGCAAGCTCAGGTGCAAACCTGAGGCCCAGCGGATTGAGTTGGTGGAGGTGTGAGGTCGTGGGCCAAACAGTAGATCCCTGCCTTAGGTGGCTGCACCCACACCCCTCGCACAGCCTGTTTGCCTCTCCCTTCCAAAGGTCTGTGCAAGGTTGACCTGGGCAAGGCTGACTCCAGGCAAGCCAGGGCATGAGCATCTGGGAAAATTCTAGAAATAGTGTGGGGTCTGGTGTGGCCCTGGAGGATGCCCAGCTGGGTGTCTCTGACCCTGACAGCTGGGCTGAAATCGAGCTGGGTTGTCCTACTGGCTGGCTGTCTCTGCTGCCAGGAGCCTTCCTGAATCCCTCTGGGGCAGGAGAGGGCCTCCCTGTCTCTGCCCAAGTCTGGGCCGAGCTCCTGCTGAATAGAGTGAGAAGCAGGTGGAAGGGAGGGGTGAGGTGGGAGAGCACAATGTCATGAAAATGAAAAACATCAGAAACCACACCTCCTGCCCCCTTAGCAAAAAATAGAAATCCCTGACACCTCTTGAGCCCTTACCGTGTGCTAAGTGCTTTACAAGTATGAACTCCTTTAATTCTCTCAATTCTATGATGTATGGTGGTTATTACTGCCGTTATTTCCTCCTTATGAAGGGAAACTGAGCACAAGAGATGTTTAATAACTTGCACCTAGAGCTGGAATTGGAATCCAGGGAGTCTGGCTCTAGACTGTGTACCCTCTTTTTTTTCTTTTTTTTTTTTAATGTATATAAAATACAATTTACCATTTTAACCATTTTTAAGTGTACAGTCTAGTGGCATGAAGTTCATTCACATTGTTGTGCAACCATCACTAATGGAAACTCCATACCCATTGAACAGTAGTAATTCCTCATTCTCTTCTCCCTCCAGCCCCAGGCAATCACCTTTCTACTTTCTGCCTCTATGAATTTGACCACGCGAGGTACATCATATAAGTGGAATCATACAGTATTTGTTCTTTTGTGACTGGCTTATTTCACTTAGCATAATGACTTTAAGTTTCATCCATGTTTGTTTATCTGTTTATCTGTCAGTGGACACTTGGGTTGTTTCTACCTTTTGACCATTGTGAATAATGCTACTATGAACACTGGTGTACAAATATCTGTTCAAGTCCCTCCTTTCAGTTCTTTGGGGCATATACCCAGAAGTAGAATTGCTGGATCCTATAGTAATTATATTAAAAAATGTTGCCTAACCGCCACACTGTTTCCACAGTGGCTGCGCCATTTTATATTCCCAACAGTGCACAAGGTTTCTAATTTCTCCTCATCCTCATCAACACTTGTTATTTTCTGTTTTTTTTTTTTTTTTTTTTTTTTGCGTACGCGGGCCTGGCTCCGGACGCACAGGCTCAGCAGCCATGGCTCACGGGCCCAGCCTCTTGGCGGCATGTGGGATCCTCCCGGACCGGGGCGCGAACCCGTGTCCCCTGCATCGGCAGGCGGACTCTCAACCACTGCGCCACCAGGGAAGCCCCATTTGTATGTTTGATAATGGCTGTCTTATGGGTGTGATATGGTATCTCATTCTGGTTTTGATTTGCATTTCCCTAATGATAAGTGATGCTGAGCACCTTTTCTTGTACTTATTGGCCATTTGTATACCTTCTTTTGGAGAAATATCTACTCAAGTGAGTCTGCATTCTTAGATTTGTAACCTCTGAGAGAAGGGGTCAACATTCAGTCTGGGCTGATGAAGAGCTCACCCAGGAGCTGGGCATTGGAGCATCTGTTTGGTTGAATAGTTATCACGGCGCACATTTTGGTGGCGCTTGTCATGTACAGGCCTCACACTGGGAGGGAGGCACTGTTAGGGATCCTGTTTTACAGCTGGGGAAACCAAAGCATGGAGAAGTTAAGTATCTTTCCCAAGTTTCAGAGCTAATCACTGGTGGAGCTGGGTTTGAACTCACTCAGGTTGGTCCTAGAGTCCATGCTACCGGGGTGGCCAGGGTGCTGGAGTGGAAAAGGGCATTGCCAGCCGTGGACCCAGTGTGTGCAGAGATTTGGATGTGGCAGCTTTGGAGGACGGACAGGGCTCAGCTAGAGCTGTCTGGATCCCAGCTTGAATAGGGGCTCCTGGAGGCTGGAGGAGGAGCGGGACGGGTGGGGGAAGGCCTGCGTCAGGGTTGGGGGTTGGGAGGAGGCTTGGTGCTGAGGGGCCTTGGTCTTTGAGGTGGGCTCAAAGTCCAAGGGTTTTAGTCCTGCCCCTTGGTCAATGGCATCCCCTCCTGTGCTTTGTCACTGGAGGAAGGAAATACGGAAGAGTGTGATGGAGTTCTTAGCCCAATGGGCGAGATAGGAAACAAGTGATAGTGAATATCTAAAATGACAGGGTGCGATGAATGTTTGGAAGGGAACAGACTGGGTAAAAGAGTTGGCAGGAGCCTCAGGGTGGTCAGGGAAGCCTCTCTGAAGTGGCGAAGAGGGAAGAGGTTCCAGGCAGAGAAAGGATGGTGCAAAGGCCCTGAGGCAGGAAAGACCTTGGTGTGCTCAGGAACAGCAGGGAGGACTCTATGGCTGGAGCAGGAAAAGCTGGAGATGAGGTGGGAGAGGAGGGCAGGGACTGGATCTTGGAGGGCCTGAGGGCCAAGTGGAGAGTTTGGATTTTATTCTAAGGAGATGGGGAGCCTTGGGGGCTGGGGCTGGGGTGGTTTAAGCAGAGCTGTGATGACATCTGATTTCTGTTGGGAAGACATTGCCATTATTGCCCTCATTTTATAGCTGAGGAAACAAGACCCAGAACCATAGCCAGGGAGTGATTCCTAAGGTGGCTTCTCCCTCTGGGGCCCAGAGAGAGAGGCTATAGATTCCTTAGGAGTTCCCCGGTGAGTGGCCAAAGCCCAACACTGAGGACTATCTTCTCCACACCCCTGCTCCCCAGACCCGGGCCCGCGTTCAAGTTCTGGCTCTGCCATTTACCAGCTGTGACCTCAGGCAAGTGGCCCCACCTCTCCATGCCTCAGTTTTCTCAGCTGTAAAATGGTCATAATAGTAGTATCTACCTTATAGTGTAGGTGTGAGGATTAAATGTGTTAACACATATAAAGAGCTTAGAACAAATGCCAGGTACAAAGAAAGCACTTGGAAAAGGTCTTACCCATTTAATAAAAATTGTCACTGTTGTCTTGCTTTTACTACTGTTAGACCCTAACTGAGCACAACCACTCCCCCTAATGCTTCCCCATTGTTGCCTTAGTAGAGGGCTAGGCAGGGACCCAGCAGGCTGCCTTATCCCCCTAAAATCAGGGCCCAGGGGCTGGAAGTGGCTTCAGGGCTGACTCACTCCCAGGTGGAGGAGAGCTGTTCCTTGAGTCGCTTCCTGTCCCCTCATGCCCTCCACCCCAACCCTGGTGCAGCCCCTACCAGGCACAGACATGGAAGTGGGCCCTCTTTGACCTCCCTGGGGCTCAGGTCAGAGCCCAGTGCGCAATTACTTCTCTGGGCCTCAGAATCCCAGTGGAAACTGGCTTAATCAAATGTCCCACCTGAAGTGACATAATAGAGCTTGGGCTGGCAGAAGAGACAATCACCTCCCTCCTAGGAGTTCCTTCCTGCAGGACTACAGTCTCCTCATCTGTAAAATGGGGATGAAATAGTTCCTCCCTCCCAGGGCGGTCCAGAGATTTAAATAAGTACAGTGTCTGGCACTCAAAAATTCTAGTTATTATTTCTATTATTGCTGTTCTTACTAATGTTTACAGCTTGCACAAAGCTTCTACAGGCACTCTCAAGCTCTAAGAACTCACACTGACCTGGCCTGGAAGGTAGGACTTTCCTTTATTGACAGAATGGAAGGCCAGAGAGGTCCAGCAACCTGCCTGGGGACACACAGCTAGAAAGGAGTGGCATTAATTAAGGCTTGATCTGGGGGAAAGTGCCCAGGTTGGACTCTCCAGGGTGACTTTGGCAACTGACTCAGCCTGTCCTAGCCTCAGTTTTCCATTAGTCAAATGGGGATAATAATAGAGCTCCCCTTGTAGGGGTTGTTGGGAAGATTAAAATGGGTTAATTAACACCAGGAAAAGTTAATACATTAACTGCTGGTCATTGTGGCTGTGGGAAGGGGGACTCAGTTTTTCCATCTCCAAGATGGGTCCGGTTGCCTGAGCTGTCCACTAAGACTCTGTGTGCCAGATGTGCGGGCCAGCGCAGCTGTGGGATAGGTGGGCCTGGCTCTCGGAAGAACTTCCTGGGGTCGGTCGGGGGCGGCTGGGATCGGGTCCCGGCCGCCGCCTGGCTTTCGTTCTCCCTTTTCGAGTAATACCTGGGCCGGCCGCCGGAAGTTGCGCAAACGCGTGTTACCTGAGCCCAGGTGGGCCGGGCCGGAGCAGCGCAGAGCGGCGGCAAGGGCGCAGCCAGGTACGTGCGGGCCGGAGCCGGGGGCACGGGGCCGGGGTCGGGGGCTGCCTGGGCACCTCTCCCTCCTCCTCAGGGAAGGCGGGGACCGGGCAGGGACTCACCTTCAGGCCTGGACGAGGCTGTAGGAATCGGCAATCAGCTCCCTCATTTAAGAGCCAGGACAACCCGGGCTCAGAGAGGGGAGGCGAGCAGACAGAATCACAGAGCATGCCGCCGCTGGGAATCTCCAGGATTGCCCCCAGTTGGGAAGGGCAAAAGCCAGACCAGGGATCCGTGCTCCCCCTACTCCCCCTCGAGGCTGACGCCAGGGAAGCCGGTGGGGAGTGAGCAAGGTGAGGCTGCATGCCCCGGGGATGCCAATGAGAAGGGCCCGGGACCGGCGCTTCTGCGGTCATTTGTGGGTAATGTTTGAAATCCGTGGGTAGGGCGTTGGGCGATGAGAGGAGGCCTCAGAGAGGACACGAGCCCCACGCGGGGACCGGGACCCTGGCTTTAACTTTCAGGAGCCACCGCACATCGTGCTTTGCCCACCGGTGAAATGAGTCTTGTTCACTGATTAGCCTCCTTTGTCCGCTGCTTAGGCTCGGGCAGACGCTTCTGGAGAATGCTTAGAGACCCCTGCGAGAGGGGCGGTCTCAGGAGTTGGGTCAAATTCATAATAAAAACAAGGAGCCCAGTTCATGCAGCGCCGCCTTTTTAACAGGTGCTGAGGAAAGTCCTCGACTTGTTTTTATCGCTCGATCCTCACGGTGACCTGGAGGATCAGGAAGGTGTATTTTTAACAGCATTTCACACATAAGGAAACCAAGTGTGGAAGAGGCGCAGCTGCTTGCGCAAGGCGCACAGCGGGCGAGGGGGCCAGCTCCGGGCGAGACGGCCAGCGGCCCTAAAGCCGGGTTTGGCTTCTAGCATCTGTCCGGGTGCCGCCGGAAGAGCCCCTGGGGTCCGCACGTCCGGCCCGAGGGGGTGGGGGCCCGAGCCGGGTGGGGGGCGGAGGGGGGGGGTGTCGCAGAACGTTTGCCCTAGCCCTGCCCATCTGACCTCCTTCCTCCTTCTGTTTCCCGGGATGGTGCCCGGGAGGAAACCAATGCCACCAACGGGTTGGACTGGTTTGGGAGGCGGGGGCCCGGGGGTAGGGCAGAGTCTAGCTACGGTGACAGGGCTCAGCAAGGCTGCCTTTCCTGTGACCCTTCCCTCCTGACGTCTCCTTGGGGGTGGGCCCTGAGTGGGGCAGCCTTTCTCTCCCACCTACTCCATCCCTTCTAACTCGGGAGCAGCTCTGGCTCTGGGCCAACAGCCCCCAAGGTTCTATTGTCAACTTGCCTTTGCTGCAGAGATCTCAGACTGGGGGCTGGGGGCCAGACTGGGGCGGGGGGCAGATATGTTTGCAGGCATGTTTTGTTTGCCCTGTCCATGCACTGTTTTTAAAATTATTATTATCAAATATGCTAAGAATCTAGAGTTTCCATGCAATTCTGGGTTCCCAGCTTCCTAGAACATCCTATACCTACATCTTGGACCCATATGCCTACAGTAGGGTGGGTATGCCCCTCTCTATTTTATCCCTGGTCTGCCTGCTTACATTTGGTCCCCATAGGTATTTCAGGTCAGTAAATATTTATTGACTGCCTATTATGTGTAAAGAGCAACACCTTGAAACTGAGATACAGTGAACAAAACGGACACCCCCCACCCCCACCCGCTTCATGGAGCTGTTTTAGGAGAATGTGAGCAACAATGAGTAAAACTATTCGTTTTTTTTTAGATAAGTGAATCAGGCTTCATATGAATTTGTGTCTTATTTATTGTCTCTGGGACCTAGGTTGGTTACTTCTTTGAGTCTCAGTTTCTCCATCTGTAAAAATGAGGTGACAATGACCTGTATCACAGACTTGTTGGAAGATTACAGGAGAGGATGGTGTCAAATGTCTAGAAGACAGATTCCTCTCTCCCCTCCCCAATCCAGACTCTTCCCTCCTGGCATTCCGGATGTCTAGGTGGGGCTGTCCAACATAGCTTTCTGCTACGGCTGGAAATGCTCTAATCTGTGCTGTCTAGTATAGTGACCACTGGCCACATGTGACTATTGAGCCCTTAAAATGTGGCTAGTGTGATTCAGGAACTGAATTGTGTGTATTTACTATAAATTTAAAGTTAAGGCTGAGTAGCCGTATGTGGCTAGTGGCTGTTGAATTAGACAATACAGGTTTAGACGGCCTGAGCTACAGGTCCTCTTGAGGATCGCCTAGACAGAGTCCCTTTCCCCCATTTTACACAAGAAAGGGTTCAGGACTTGGTCTATGGGTTTTCTTCTGGCCCATCTCCAGGGGACTGCGGGGGGCACTTTGTGGCTCTAGCCCTTCCTTGGAAAAAAGGTCAGGGGTGGCCTGATGTCTGGGGTACTGGGCCCTGATGCTTAGGTGATCATGTGGAGACCTGTGCATCCAGATGTGGGCCCTCCTGCCTATGCGTGTCCGTCCTACTGCTGCTGGCAGATCCGGAGTCTGCTGGATGCTCCTAAGCAGGGCTGTGTGATCTTGGGCATTTCCAGCTTCTCTCAGAGCAGCATAGCTCAGGGCTGACGTTTCCACCTGACAGGCATCCGTGGATTGCTGTGGGCCTGGCATTGGAATTTCATACTGGAAGCTAATGGGTGTCTGGACTCCATTGGGGCAGGGGTGGGGACTTTCTACACTCCTCCTCCACAAGCTGTGCTGCTATGCCTGGGGCCTGGCATGTCTAGGCGGGTGGCACAGGGCAGCTTCCTGCCTGGGTGAGTGTGGGGTGGAGGTGGTACCAGGCTTCCTGTGGGCATTCCAGGTGGGGTGTGGGGTTGGAGCCCTTTCTCTTGGTCACTCAACCCCAAGACCCCTGCGCAAGCACCTCCCTGCTTGGAGGCAAGGGGCAGAGCCACCAACTTGCTGAATTAGCTTAATCAAGCTCACCTCCCTGGGCTTCAGTTTACGCATTTGCAAGATGGAACTGTGAAGAGGACCCACTCTTCACAGTTGAGCCGGCTGGTGTCCAGCACTCAGCCTGGAACCCCCTTTGCTTCCTTTAAAATGTGCCATGTCCCATCTTTTCTGCACAGGCTGCCCGTGTCTTTCTTCTTTGGCACCTTTTTTTTCTCTCTGCCTCAGCTGGGCTGGGCCCTCGGAGAAGGAGGGGGGGTGGGCGGAGTCACAGGCCCGGGAGCGGGTGCTTTCTGCCTGCTTATTGGCTCTCTGTGAATCAGAGGCGTGGCCTTTACCTTTTAATGGGGAAGGCGTCTTCAGCTTTTCTCAGTCTTTGCTGAGCCTTTGTCTGAGTGTGCTCTGCCCCTTTCTTTCTTTCCTCCGCCGCAGCCGTTGCGGTGTCCAGCTGCCAGCTTTCCGCCTGGATCTCTGTCTCCTCATTTCTCCAGTCTCCTCAGACAGAAGCCCTCGGGGTATGTAACAGCCATGCCTGTGGACACGCTGACTCCGGGAGCCCGAGACACCCCCGCCCTACCTTTCCGCCTACAGACCAAGGTCCCCGGCTACCAGCTACAGCGGCCAGCAGACTGTGGAGCCCGGAAACCTAGTGCTGTAGAGCGCCTGGAGGCCGACAAGGCCAAGTATGTCAAGAGCCTGCATGTGGCCAATACCCGCCAGGAACCTGTGCAGCCCCTGCTGTGCAAACAACCACTCTTCAGCCCTGGAACTCGCCGCACGGTGCTCACGCCTTGCCGCCGAGTCCTGCCTGGCCCCGGCCGCCGGCCCCAGCTGGACCTGGACATCCTGAGCAGCCTCATCAACTTGTGTGATAGTCCTGTGTCCCCTGCTGAGGCCAGCCGTACTCCCGGACGGTCAGAGGGGGCCCGCCAGGCTCCCCCAGCCACCCCCCCACGCCCACCACCCAGTATTGCTGCAGTCCGCCGAGTGGATGTCCTTCCCCTGCCGGCGTCACCTGCCCAGCCCTGCCCATCACCAGGCACTGCCGCCACCTCTAGCCCGGCCCGGCCCCCAGGTTTGCAACGCTCCAAGTCAGACCTGAGTGAGCGCTTCTCCCGGGCAGCAGCTGACCTGGAGAGATTTTTTAACTTCTGCGGCCTGGACCAGGAGGAGGCACGGGGATTGGGTGTGGCCCACCTAGCCCGGGCCAACTCAGACATCGTGTCCCTGGCTGGGCCCAGTGCTGGGCCGGCTAGCTCCGAGGGGGGCTGCTCCCGCCGCAGCTCTGCCACCGTCGAGGAGCTGGCTCGGGAGCGCGTCCCCTATGGTGTGTCAGTGATAGAGCGCAACGCCCGGGTGATCAAATGGCTGTATGGGTTGCGACAAGCGCGGGAGACTCCAGCAGCTGAGGGCTAGGCCTCCATGGGACTCGACATTCGCCACGGGACAGATCTTATAGAAGCCATAGGCCCCTTGACCTCTCCTGCATCCATTCCCTGGCTTGGGGCAGACCAGAAGCTGCTGCCTCATGTGAACTTCCTATAGAGGCAAAGCCTCAGAGTCTGGACCAGCATCCGTCTGACAAGGACTGACCCGGAGAGAGTTGGCTCTTGACCTTGGACTACCGCCTACGCCTCACGTGTAGGGTTTTGACATGGATGGACCCCTGCTTGTAGGTTTGGATTTGGGGCACTTAGCCCTTCCTACTGAGAGTGAGGGACCAAGGGATCTCACCAGAGCTGTCTACCCAGCAGCTCTGTTTCTTTCTTCCTTCCTTGGCCTCTGTCCTTTACTGACTTCCTCTTCCCTTACCCAGCGGGCCTTGGTTCCCTGGGAACTCACCCTGGGGTGGGGGTAGGAAGGAGTGGCCTATCCACATTTTTCAAGGAGCGTGCCAGCCTGGGCCTAGGTGGGTAGACTACAGAAAGGACTGGTAGGAGTCTGCACTGCTCTGACTTCCCTCCTCTTGGTTAATAAACACAAATGCTTGTTTTTCAAGGGCTGGGTCATCAGACTCTTCTGTGTACACAAGGAGGGGTGGGGGAAGTCTTGGGGTGGGACCTTCAAAACTCAGTGATTGCCCACCCCAGGATCTGGGGGGCATGAGGCCAGTGGCTGGCTCTGCCTGAGACTCGCCTCACAGGGCACCCTCATAACCCCTCTGGGAGGCTAGCTGATGGGCCTCCTTCATAGTGGAGGACGCTGGGTCTGGCCACAGAGTGAATCAGGAAAGAACTGAGAAGAGGACTGGAGACTTTCCCCTGCACCAGGAAGGGTACCTGCCTGGGAAAGGCTGACAGGTACATGGACCCTCCCCAACCGTAAGTATTCTGCCCTTTCCCATCCCAGCCCAGTTCCCAAGAGGGCAGGAAGCTCAGAGGGGGCAAGCCCTGAACTTGAGGTCACACAGGCCATGGATTGGAGATTGGAAGTGGAAGTTCTTAGAGGAAGAGGGACTTGAGGTGTATAGCAAAAACGAGTGGCCTTGCCTCCAACTCTAGGTGACCCTGGGAAAGCCAGTCCTCCCTCTCTGGGCCTCCGTGGGAGAGTTGGAGGCATGGTCCTGTTTGGGTTGGGGGAAGGGGAAGGAGGTGGCTGGCACTGGGCTGTGAGGTCTCGGCTCCTTTCCATCTCCCTCCAGGTTAGTTACCTGCTAGGAGACCCCTGCCCCCCACCCTTGGCTGGTGAAGCAGCCAGGGCCGGGCACACAAAGGGTGAGAGCCTGGGTGGCCTCTGTATCCCCTCTTCCCGTGGGGGGGTGGCAGGGCTGGGTGGTGCTTCCTCTCCCGCAGGCTGCCTGGGCTGCAGCGCTCAGAAACAGGAAGCTCTAATGGGGGCCCTGGTGACAGGTTTGATGTAGGTTTTATTTTAAGCATAAAGAGGAGATTTCCGTTGGGCTGTTGACAAACATCCAGGTCAGCCCAGCTGTCTGTCTGTCTGACAGTCCACAACCAGTCCCCAGGCTTGGCTGGGCCTGGGCCATTTGGGGAAACAAGGGGAAATCGGGTTATAGAAGAGGATGGTGTTCAAATTCATGAGAATGGAGTTCACCCCTCATGATACAGATGGGGAGACTGAGGCATAGGAGGGGGGATGACCCACCATAGGCTCCCAGCAAGTTTGGCAACTCAGGAGTGGCGCCTTCTGGTCCCCAGGTTAAAGGAGTGATGGGGTCGGGGGGATAATCTGGGTAAGCTCTGCAGAGGTCGTGTCCTTTGAGGTGTCAAAGACCTTTCCCTCCAAGGCAACCCAGACAGAATTCGGTGCTAAGTGTTGCCCCTTGCCCTGAGCTGCCAGACCCCCAGAAACACGAGAAGGTGGGAGTGTTGGCTGCATTTTACGTGTGAAGAAATTGAGGTTTGGGTCACAGGACTGTTGGTGATGGGCTGGGAGACCCCTTGTTCCTGGAGGAAGTTTCGGTACTGGGCTCAGACCTTTCATACTAAACCTGTCACTGAGTCCTCAAGGTGGCTTCTTCATGGTCACCTGAGAAGGTCGCCTCTTGTCTTAGAGCAGGGAGGGGTAGTGGCGTGCGGGCTGTCACAGAGCGGGCCTGCACTCCAGCCTGGGGTCACACCCTGGCTGCTGGACACCCCAGTCACCGGCACTCTGGCTCCTTGATTCTCCCGACACACGCCTCACCTCTCTTCCCCATTCTGGGGGCCTTTCCTCCTAGTCACTATTGAGCACCTACTGGATGCCCAGCGGTTGACAGGACAGCCATGGGCCCTGCCAAGTCTAGGGGGAGGGAAGGGGCAGCTAAGCAGAAACTAGTCATTTACACTCAGGGACTTCTGCCCTAAGACCAGGGCTGTTCCTAGGAGCTGGGCCAGGGGGAGCAGAGAGGAGCACTGGGAGGGTCTGTTGGAAGAAAGCAGGGAGGGATTCTTAGAAGTGGGGAAAGTGCCACATTGAGCCTTGACTTCTCTGACAGGCTGCCTCGTTCTGGGAGGGCTTCCCCTCCTCCAGGATTCTGTGGAGGGAGCGGCTAGGGGCTTCTGCCACTCCCCTTACCCACGGGTCTACCAGCCTCGGGGATCTGCAGAAACAGGCCCTCTATTGTTTTGCCTCCAGTTGGAGTGTGAGGGGCAGTGAGTGGCAGCCCCTGTGTTTCAGGCCCTCTGAGGGCCTGCAGCTGCTGCCCTGTCCCCTGGGGCCCCCTGGCCGCCATAGCAGCTTCCCCAGGCCAGATTGGCCCCAGCTGCCTAGCCCCTAATTAGGCAGAGATGAGATATCTGCTCCCTGATCTATTTCCCACCAGCTAATTATACACATGTGGGCTTGGGAGACTGGCAACCTGGCTGGCTACTTCTGTCATGAAGGTGTGATGGGCCCACTGGGAAATGTACCCATCCCTACCTGCCGGACCTCAGTTTATCCTTTTGGCAGAGGATGGGATATAGCAAGGGGCATTGTTCCTGTCCCTGATGAAATGGTTCTGGCTTTGTTAATGAGTTGCTGAAGGGGACCAGGGGGAGGAGACCCCCATCCTGCCTGACATCCTGTGTCCAGGGGGAGTATGCAGGTCCATCCAGGCCCAAGACAGAAGTGCCCCATCCAGTTTTTTTTTAATTTAATATTATTTTTCATAAAATATATTCATATATTTCCCCCAAAATTTTATTAAGAAAAATTTCAAAGTTGCAAGTAGTATATAGTGAACACTGATATATCACCTACTAGATGCACAATTGTTAATATTTTGCTGTATTTCCTCTATCAGACATCTATCCATCTATCCACCCATTAAAACAACTTGTTATTTTTTGAAGCTTTTCAAAGTAGGCTGCAAACATCAGTACCCTTCCCCTTAAAGGCACTTCAGCATGCATTTCATTAGCTAGAGTTCTGTATCTGTTTATGGTTATTCTTGGGAGTGGGAGGTAAAATTTATATACAGTGAAATGCATAGATCTTAAAGGACCATTTGCTGAGTTTAGACAAGTACATACTGTACTCCAAACCCTAGTCAGGATATAGAGCCATGAAAAGTTCCCTCACGTTCCTTCCGTCAGTTCCTGTCCCCAACTCATGGATGGATCTATATAAATACTACTAATAAAAACATTCCCTTGCCCTGTACTTCCCACTCCCAGCCCTGCTCCCCAAAGCAACCACAGTCAACTTTTTAAACTATTTCTTCTGGTACTTTCCTCTGTATTTCTAAGTAACATTCTTTTCCTGCTATTTTCTGTTTTTTTTTTTTTTGGTACGCGGGCCTCTCACTGCCATGGCCTCTCACTGCCATGGCCTCTCCCGTTGCGGAGCACAGGCTCCGGATACGCAGGCTCAGTGGCCATGTCTTACGGGCCCAGCTGCTCCGCGGCACGTGGGATCCTCCCAGACCGGGGCACGAACTCGCGCCCCCTGCATCGGCAGGTGGACTCTCAACCACTGCGCCACCAGGGAAGTCCTCCTGCTATTTTCTTGATTATTTTAGGCAAATATTGACTTTCAGGTCTGATGTTCCCACAGTGTGGCTTCTGCAGCCTGACTGTCTGGGTTTGAATTCCAGCCCTTCTCCTTACTGGCCAGATGACCTTGGGCAAGTGACTTAACCACCTGATGCCTCAGTTTCCTCATTTGTAAAATGAGAGTAATAAGAATATTGAAGTTATTGGACTGTTATGAGGATTCAACATGTGAAGTGCCTAGAATAAGGCACATCACCCAGTAAGTGGTCAAAACTCTTTCTTTTTGTAGTTTTTATTATCAAGGAAGACAATTTTTCTCTACCTCCTTTCCTTTCAAAATCTACATTTATCACAATTTTTCATTAAATGATTAATTAATGTTATTTATATTGTGACCATATAAATATTGTTTCTTGCCAAGTTGCATATTACAGTTACATTTCCCTTTTTGTGCAACTCTGTTCTTCCTGGAGTTACTACCTGCTTTGGTTTTTCATTTGCTTAGTTTCTTCTTTACTCATCCTTAATTCTCTGACATCCTCAATTTCCCCATGGTTACACATAGAAGATACTTTATTGGTTCCAATTTTCTTCCTGAAACCCTTCATATGCTTTTTAACAATCCCACCCCCCCTTTCAAAAACAACAATGGGACCAATTTAAAAACTAGAATCTCAAGCACAAGTACAATTTGTAAGATAAGCCTTTGTGAGCATCCACTCTCTGTCCCTGCTCACGTGGGTCTCTAAGAGGAATAAAAACTGAGGCTGTGACACCCCTGCCAGGCCTCTCCATTTACCCACAGGAACCCCTCAGCACTGTCTGCTCACAGCTGCCAACCTCTGGCTTGTCCTGTGCCCTTCGCTTTATTCATCGATTCATTCAGCAAAAGTCTACTGGGTCCTTCTTCACCCCTGGAACTGTACTGGGCAGTGCCAGCAACATAGAGCTTGGGCAGTATCAACCCATCTGTTCCCAGATTGGCATTTACATTGACATTACATTACATTGGCAGCCAGGAGAGTGGTCTGAATAGAGGTGTGTGTGGGGTTGGGTGAGGGCTCTGTGTGTGTGTGAGACTTGTAGGGGCTAGTGAGTGTCTGTATGGGTGCCAACAGATTTTATATGAAAAGTTATCTGTGTGCATTTATGCGCATATGGGCGTAGATGTTGTCTGCACAGTGTGTGTTCACCAGGTATATGTATCAGATAGCCCTTGCTGTGTAACAGGCCACCCTAGACCCAGTGGCCTAAAACAACAAATGATTAGTTTATGATTCTATGACTTGGCAATCTGGTCTGGGATCAGCTGGGCAGTTCTGGTTTTACCTAGGCTCACTGATGTAGCTGCAGTCAGCTGGGGCTTGGTGATCTTGGAGGGCCTCACTCACATGTCGGGCAGTTGGCAGGCTGTTTGCTGGGGTGCTTCAGTTCACCTCCAGGAGGCTAGCACGGGCTCATTCCCATGGTGATCTTGAGGTTTCGTGTTCAGCTCCAATGCACCAGTGCTTTTTAAAGCCTCTTCTTGAGTTATGATCACTAATGTTCCATTGGCCAAAGTGACATGGTCAAGTCAGATTCAAG